CTGGGGCCCGGGCGGCCGCCGGCGGCCCCTGTGCCCGCAGGTGAGACGGTGGAGCCACCGCCCTCCCCACCGCTGCACTTCATGTACGTGGCCGTGGTCGCCCTCGTCCTGCTGATCTTCGTGGGCTGCGGGGTCCTGCTGTCCCGCAAGCGGCGGCGGCAGCATGGCCAGCTCTGGTTCCCCGAGGGCTTCAAGGTGTCGGAGGCCAGCAAGAAGAAGCGGCGGGAGCCCCTGGGCGAGGACTCCGTGGGCCTCAAGTTAGTGGACGCCGCCATGGCTTGCGGGGGCTTGGGGAGGCGCAGCCCCTCCAGACCCACGCCCCGCCCCCTGCCCCCACCAAGCTGTAGGGCATCTAGCACCACCGAAGCGGAGGCCTCACGGTGGTTGTCCAGGGAGCCCCCGTTCAGCCTCGCTTGCCTCCCCACCCCCAGGCCCCTGAAAAATACCTCGGACGGCGCCCTCATGGATGACAACCAGAACGAGTGGGGTGACGAGGATCTGGAGACCAAGAAGTTCCGGGTGAGTCGGGGACTCCAGGTCCTCCCCAGGTAACCCCCGCCCCCGTTCCCCACCCGCCACGACGTGATTCCCGGCCCCCTTCCCTAGTTCGAGGAGCCAGTGGTTCTTCCTGACCTGGATGACCAGACAGACCACCGACAGTGGACCCAGCAGCACCTGGACGCCGCCGACCTGCGTGTGTCCGCCATGGCCCCCACACCGCCCCAGGGCGAGGCCGACACCGACTGCATGGACGTCAACGTCCGTGGGCCTGGTAGGTGCTTGGCTGCCCACCCAGGGGTGCTCTGGTCCAGCAGCCTGCGCTTCCCCGTGCTTCTCTGTCTGCACCCCGCCCACCTCCCTCCCCTGAGCCCCCGAGATCAGTCTTTTGGAAGCTGAGTGTGGGAGGCGGGGGGCAAGATGCTCCTTGTCCTAAGACTCAATCTGTTTCTCACCTGCTTCCTCTTGAGTGACCCTGAGCCCGCTGGGCCCCGTGAATTAATTTTTTCCTCTCAAAATCTTTTGGGACATGTGAAGTGTTGATTTCTTAACTGCATTTTTACATCGTCTTTGTTTTGGGTGGATTGTCGGCAGAAATCTTAGGCAGGTCATAGCAGAGCCGCGGGGGTCACTTTGGCTCTGTCCCTTGGGAAGCTCAGATTGATTTTGATGGCCTCAGCTGGCGCAACCACATGTGCAGGGCCACCACGGGCTGGGTCACGTGTGCAGACTGCTGCCCACCGGCTCAGGACCGTCGTCCCTGGCTGGAGCTGCTACTGGGGGGTGGCCAGCCTTCCTGACCGCGCACCCTGTCCCCGCCTCCCCGCAGACGGCTTCACGCCTCTGATGATAGCCTCGTGCAGCGGAGGGGGCCTGGAGACCGGCAACAGCGAGGAGGAGGAGGACGCACCGGCCGTCATCTCGGACTTCATCTATCAGGGCGCCAGCCTGCACAACCAGACGGACCGCACCGGTGAGACCGCCCTGCACCTGGCCGCCCGCTACTCACGCTCTGACGCGGCCAAGCGCCTACTGGAGGCCAGCGCCGACGCCAACATCCAGGACAACATGGGGCGCACGCCGCTGCACGCGGCTGTGTCTGCCGACGCCCAGGGCGTCTTCCAGGTGGGAGCCGCTGCCACTCACGTGCCGCCCCCCACCAGTCCCCCGCCGGCCTTCCCTTCTGCTCTGGGCCAGTGCCTCGCTTTACATGGACCCAGAGCCCTGAGCCTAGGCATAACCTAAGCAGAGACAGGTTTATCCTAAGTCTTTGCTCTGAGCAGGGCACGTGGCTGGCGAGGGCACCAAACTCCACACGTCCTCGAAGGGGGGCACGGCTGGAGGTGGTCCAGCAGAAGGCCGAGGGCAGGGCCTCCTCACCCTGACCCAAGACACTCCCGTCCCTCCCTCCCGGCCACAGCAGAGGCATAGCCTGTGGCAGAGCGAAGTGGGGTTTAGAGGCTGCTGCTTGCTGCCTGCAAACCCGGGCCTTGGCCTTGCTGGGGAGCCCAGGACATGGGGCATTTGGGGATTTGGATGCCTGAGTCTTTGGAGAATGTCCCTGACAGAGGCTCTTTTTGCAAGCTGCCCACTGGTCTGCTGGCTGCAAGACCCCAGGTCTGGGCAGCCCTACCCTGCACAGATGGGCAGTAAGCCGGGGAGGTTACCACAGGGCTTTGGATTTCATAGTTTTTAGCGTGTTGTCCTATGGAAATCAGAAATTGAGGTTAGCCGGAAGGGGACAATGTAAAGGAGTCCCTGGAGGCAGGCTGTGGCCATTCGCGGTGGCAGCCCTTCTGGCCCGTGGGGACTTAACGCCCCCAGGTGCTTCGCAGGAACGAGGCCATCCCCGCACACTGCTCGGCGCCGGCTTTTCCCCCACCCCCCCACCGGCAGACTCGCCGTCCTTGCAGCCTGTGACCTGGGATGAACAGCACCTCCTGTGTGTCTGGAGGGACATGGCAGAGGGCGGCGGTGCTGAGTGTGGCTCCAATGTCTGGAGCCGGGATGCAGGCACTGGCTCTGTGGCTGGGCAGGGATTTGATCTCTCTGTCCTGAAGCGCTGGTGGCAGCCAGGTCTGTGGTGAGAGTCAGATGAGGCCAAACGTGGTCACCAAGGAGCTGGTCTTTGGGCAGCATGGCCTGCACTCTGCCCTTGGTCCTTCCAGCCGCAGCCGTGGGGCCCTGCCCCTCCGTGACTGTCCAGGATGGCTGGGGCCATTTGGACCCAGGAGGGGCTTCGTCCATGCTGGGCACGGGTTCCGGGCCAGGGGCCCCGGGCCCAGCTTTACTGAGTCTGACACCTTCCCCGTCACCCAGATCCTGATCCGGAACCGAGCCACAGACCTGGACGCCCGCATGCACGACGGCACGACGCCGCTGATCCTGGCCGCCCGGCTGGCCGTGGAGGGCATGCTGGAGGACCTCATCAACTCCCATGCCGACGTCAACGCCGTGGATGACCTGGGTAAGCGGGCAGTGGCCTGGCCGCGGGGACGGGCCTACCACAGCCTGGCCCGCCCCAACCCTTCACGCTCTCCCCATGCAGGCAAGTCCGCCCTGCACTGGGCCGCGGCCGTGAACAACGTGGACGCCGCCGTGGCGCTGCTGAAGCATGGTGCCAACAAGGACATGCAGAACAGCAAGGTACGGGGGCGGCGGCGAGGGGCCGCGCAGGGCCGGCTGTCCTTCCACCCAGCACCCGTCCTTGCTGACCACGGGTCCCCCAGACCTGCAGCTTAAACTGCTGGGCCTCGGCTTCCTGGCCTGGGAAGGCCGGGCGGGGCCTGGGCACACACGTGTGGACGCTTTAGCTGGGGCCTGCGTGTCGTTAGCCCTCTCGCTTCCTTCGATCTGCATTTGCTGCCACCTCCCAGGTGTAGGCGGCCACCGCTGCAGGACACGTGTCCCAGTACAGTGAGTGGTGCGGTGGCAGCCGTTCTGTCTGTCCCTCTCCATGACCTGGACCTCGTGTCCTGTCCTTGGCTGTCACCGGGCGGGGGTGGCCCCGATGGCACAGGTCGAGCCGGCCTGCTGGTCCCCCAGTGGCGGGGCGGCGGCGAGGGTGACCACAGCCACCCCGTGCTGTGCCCCCAGGAGGAGACGCCGCTGTTCCTGGCCGCCCGGGAGGGCAGCTACGAGACGGCCAAGGCACTGCTGGAGCACTGTGCCAACCGGGACATCGCCGACCACATGGACCGCCTGCCGCGGGACATCGCACAGGAGCGCATGCACCACGACATCGTGCGGCTGCTGGACGAGCACGGCCTGGCGCGCGGCGCCCCCCTGGGCGGCGCGCCCACCCTGTCGCCCCCGCTCTGCTCGCCCAGCGGCTACCTGGGCAGCCTCAGGCCCGCCGTGCAGGGCAAGAAGGCCCGCAAGCCCAGCACCAAGGGCCTGGCTAGTGGAGGCAAGGAGGCCAGGGACCTCAAGGCCCGGAGGAAGAAGTCCCAGGACGGCAAGGGCTGCCTGCTGGACAGCGCGAGCGTGCTGTCCCCCGTGGACTCCCTCGAGTCGCCCCACGGCTACCTGTCGGACGTGGCCTCGCCACCCCTCCTGCCTTCCCCCTTCCAGCAGTCTCCGTCCGTGCCCCTCAGCCACCTGCCGGGCATGCCCGACACCCACCTGGGCCTCAGCCACCTGGGTGTGGCGGCCAAGCCCGAGATGGCAGCGCTGGGCGGGGGCGGCCGGCTGGCCTTCGAGGCTGGGCCGCCACGCCTCTCCCACCTGCCTGTGGCTTCCAGCACCAGCACAGTCCTGGGTTCTGGCAGTGGCAGCGGGGCCGTGAATTTTGCCGTGGGCGGAACCACGGGCTTGAACGGCCAGTGCGAGTGGCTGTCTCGACTGCAGAGTGGTCTGGTGCCAAACCAGTACAACCCACTGCGAGGGAGCGTGGCCCCGGGCACGCTGAGCACACAGGCCCCTGCCCTGCAGCACGGCATGATAGGTCCGCTGCACGGCGGCCTCTCCGCCACTGCCCTGTCCCAGATGCTAAGCTACCAGGCCCTGCCCAACACGCGGCTGACCACCCAGCCTCACCTGGTGCCGACCCAGCAGGTGCAGCAGCAGCAAAACTTACAGATGCAGCAGCAGCAGAGCATGCAGCCGCCGCCGAACCTGCCGCCACCGAGCATCCAGCAGCAGCAGAACCTGCAGCCGCCGCCCCAGCCACACCTCGGCGTGAGCTCGGCCGCCAGCGGCCACATCGGCCGGAGCTTCCTGGGTGGGGAGCCGAGCCAGGCAGACGTGCAGCCACTGGGCCCCAGCAGCCTGGCGGTGCACACCACCCTACCACAGGACAGCCAAGCCCTGCCCACGCCACTGCCGTCCTCCCTGGTCCCGCCCATGACCACCGCCCAGTTCCTGACGCCGCCCTCGCAGCACAGCTATTCCTCTCCCATGGACAACACCCCCAGCCACCAGCTGCAGGTGCCCGAGCACCCCTTCCTCACCCCGTCCCCCGAGTCCCCCGACCAGTGGTCCAGCTCCTCCCCACACTCCAACATCTCCGATTGGTCCGAGGGCATCTCCAGCCCGCCCACCAGCATGCAGTCCCAGATCGCCCACGTCCCGGAGGCCTTCAAGTAAACAGGCGGCTCGTGCTTCCTTTCCCAGGCCCTGCCGGGCGGCCGCCGTGCGCTCCACGGATGCCGGGCTGACCCAGGGAGCTTTTTTAGAAAGAAATATGTTTTTATACAAAATAAGAGAACGAGGACTTGAAATTCTTTTTTTAGTATTTATTTATGTACTTTTATTTTACATGGAAACACTGTCTTTTTATTTATATGTACTGTTTTCTATGGCACCGATAGACTAGTTCTCAGTTGGGTTTTCTTACGTAGGATAAAGATTATGTATTTGTAAAAAATATATATATAAACAAAGATTCATGATTTATAAATGCCATTTATTTATTGACTTTTTTTTTTCAAAACTCAAAAAGATGTCGGAGAGGGGAGGTTTGAGCCAGCATTGTCCAAAACTCTCCCAGTGCCGGGGCCCCAGACACCCCCACACCCCGCCCCACCCCCCCGCCCAGCATCTGGAGAGAGTGAGGCGGAGCCTTCATACCTTTGGCACATGGGTTAAGTTGTCTCTGAAAAAGGAAAGTAAAACGTACAGTGATGTGGTTTATACGTTTGGG